GCTGGGGGGGCTCACCGGCAACCTTGCGCAGGCACTGGCGGAAGCAGGCCCGGGAGCAGCACTTCATGCCGGAGGGGCACTGGCTGTCGTCCGCGCACTGGTCGGGCACCGACAGGAGGCAGGGCTCCTCATCCGGGGGGCAGCCCCCCGCCTTCTCTGAAAGAGACCCCGGGGCTTGTAGGTGAGGTGGCTCTCCTGCGACCCGCGCTCACCTGGGGTGACAGGGCCTGGACCCTTTGGCCTGGTCTTTGGGAAGTTTCGGATTCCTTTTTTAGTGAAAGGAGAAGCTGCACTCCTTCCTTCCAGATGACGTAAAGTCTGGGAAAGAGCAAAGTTCAGACTCTCCAGCGTGGCCAGCTGGGCCGAGCAGGTCAGGCCCCTGCCCGCTTCATGACTCCAACCCCCTCTGGGCCCTGGCTCTGGGCCCTGGCGCTGTGCCTTGGGCCTCGCTTTGGCGGTGCCCTGGGGCCCGGGGCTCGCTCCTGGCCCTGCCCCGCCCTGGTGAGCCGTCAGGTCTCAGCGGAACGCCACATCACAGGACCCTGGTGTCTCCCCAGGGCTCCCCAGGTCAGCCCTCCTGCCTCCCAAAGGGCCTGTCCTGGCATTTGCCACTCCGCAGCTTCTGCCTGCGGCTGCTCTTGCTGGCCCCTCTCTGCTCATGGCTGGGGGAGGCAGTGCTTGCCGATGTTTGGAAGACACGGTTTTGTAGAAAACCCAGCATCACAGCGCTGGCCGTGCGTGGTGGACCAGCCCAGCGAGCCACCTCTGCACTGCGTGCTGTCACTGCTGGCATTGTTCCAGGATCTGGACTCGCTTGGCCTTAGGGGAGGGCCTCTGAATGGCTCTAGAATATTCTTCCCTGGATCCTACCTAGCCACTCTTGTGGATTTCGAGCCATTTCCAGAAGGCTCAAGTCAGTGTTTCTCTTCCTTTAGAGGGAAACATCAAGCCTACATGGGGAAACTGGCATCTCCCGGGTCTCCAAGAGCCTGGGCTAGGGCTCGGGGCCTCGTCTCCCAGGGCAGTGCGCCGTCTGACCACTACCCCTCTGCCTGGTGGCCTCGGAGCCCCGGACTGGGCACTGGACCATCCCTTCTATCTAGCACCTGAGCGAAGCTTCCAAAGGCCCTGTGGCAGCTGGACCCACTGCCACGACTTTTCCTGCAGTCCCCTGCCACCCTGGCCCCTGGCAGGCCCTGTCCTCCTCACACACAGTAGGCACCTTGCTTACACAGTCAGCTCCAGGTGGTAGACATGGTCGCCTGCCCCTGCTGGAGAAGGAGAAGCTTAGCCTGTGATAGCCTGACCTTGGCAGGCTGAGGCCCACGCATCGTATGACACTACCCGACAGTTAAATGTTTGGACCTGTGAGAATAGCAGTTTCATACAGTCTGAACTATAGAGATGCCCACCCGTGTGTGTTGTACACACATGTTACATACATGCTCTGGGTGTGTGTACACAGAGACACATCCATTCACACGACAGCGATGCACACATGTGAACCAGCTGCGCAGAGGCATGTGACGTGTGGCTAGGCACACAGCTGTCACGTGGACACACGGCACGATGCTCACAGGCAGTCACACGTAACTCAGCCGTGTGCCGCGAGACACTCACACACAGGATGCGTGTGGGTGGGAGCAGATTCAGGCGCGTGGCATGCAGGCATCGACACGGCCCTGTGCACAGGCAGCCCAGATGCAGAGCTGGTCACCAACACCCCACTGTCACGAAACACCTGTCAGGCACTGGCCATCATCAGGGGCTGGCCAGGCACCCCCACAATTGAGGGGCCAACGCTGAGCTTCCACAGGCAACAGATTTCCCTCCCCGGACCCTGTCCCTCTTCCACTGTCTGAAGTTCCACCTGGGGCCAGGCAGGGGCAGAGACGCCCCCTTGTCGGGGTGTCTGAGCTAACTCGGGTTCTGCAGTGCAGCTGTCGCCTCTGAGCAGCGGGGCTCAGTGTGGTGCTCACGCAGCAGCACTGTGAGCCGCCCGCCGAGGCTGCGTTCCTGAGACCGGCTGCTCCCAGAGAGCGCGAGGCTGTCGGGGGGCGCCGGGGAGGTGAGTCTACCTGGTTCCAAAGACCTGCGCTCAGACGCCCTCCTGATGCTAAGTCGGAGTCAGCCCCTGGAGCGGGCAAGGGTCTCCAGGGAGCCTCCCGAGGGTAAAGTGGGATCAGTCCTGACCGCAGGGGTCCCAGCGAAGAGGGATGTGGCGGCAGGCGTGGATCCCACGGTGCTGGGTCTGGTGTGGGCCTCGCCGGCATCCTGCCCGCTCAGCCCGGGCAGGGTTGAGCACCCTCCTCCCCAAGCCAGCTTGTGCCCCAGGGAGAAAGCCCGCCTCCGAGGAAGGCAGGTTCCTAGGCCAGGGTGCGAGCGAGGATGCAGCGAACTGCTCCCCGGGACTGCGAGGAGAGGCCCTGTCTCTGTCCCTGAGGCAGGGCCCGGGCCCCACAGGGGAATGTAGGTCAGAGTGTCCCAGCCCTGCGAGAAGATGGAGGCAAAGGCCTCACCTGGATCAGGAGGTACCTGTCTAGCTGCTCCAGCAGCCCTGGGCGCCCTCACCTGTCAACAAGTCAGTCCGGGCCCTAGATGGGCGAGAGCTTCCTCCGATAGATCCCAGACGCCTCACTCCTGGCCCACTCCAGTCCCCTCCACAGACTGGGCTGGGAGGCGGAGGGGCCTGAGAAGGACAGAAGCTGGGGAACGGGCCAAGCAAGGCGACGACACAAAGGGTCATCTCCATGCCCCGCGGCCCCACAGCTCTGGACACACCTCCATGGAGACACCCGCAGCACGGCAGGAGCCGGCAGGTTCCCGTCCCCTCTCCAGAGGCAGAGACGCGTGTTGGTGTATGTCCAGCTTCTGAAGGCTCACGCTTGTAAGCTGTCCTGCCCAAGCAGACCTCGCAGACCAGACTCACATCAGCCTCGTGCTTCCAGGGACATGCAGGCACAGGGTGCTCCCACGGCCACACTCAGGCCTGAAGGCAGGCACAGGAGGGCACAGAAACTGGCAGGAAGACGTTCATAGACACAGATGCAGGCAGGTGAGCATAGGTGGGCCGGCAGGTGGGCATAGGTGGGCAGGCAGGTGGGCATACATGGGCAGGCAGGTGAGCAAGCAGGTAGGCAGGCAGGTGGGCATACATGGGCAGGCAGGTGGGCATAGGTGGGTAGGCAGGTGGGCATAGGTGGACAGGGAGGTGGGCAGGCAGGTAGGCAGGCAGGTGGGCATAGGTGGGCAGGCAGGTGGGCATAGG